GCACAAACAGGAACGAAACTTCATGTGAAATAAATTTACTGTGAGATCACATTTAAGTAATAACCACTACGTTTGCACTACTTATGTTTGTGTATAGATTTATTGCATACATTTGCAGACAGACAATAGAATGAGGAGAGTAAAAGCGAAATAAAATGGAGATAAGTAGACCAAGTCAATTGATGAGGCATGACTATGTATAGTCAGTTAAAATAGACTAGACATGTTGCAAGCGAAGTAGACAATGCGTACTTAAATAAAGATACTCGAGCTACAAGCGAATAATTGACAAGGTCGAATGACAAGTGAATATTAACTCGGGGAGAAAAGGTTAATTAGTTTGTCCAAAATCTGGGACAAGCCGTGTAGGCTCGACATATTGGTACATTCAATACAGTGTAAATAAAAGACTTAAAATTATCTGCATGAAAAGACTCAAATGTTTCCCATATTGATTAGATCTCAATAAAGTAATGCTTTTCTGCTTTACCCAAACCTAACGAAGTACATATGTAGACATATATGAGATATGAATGAAAACAGAAAATATTCCAAAATGAATAAAACTATTGAGATAAGATAGGAAAGATTGATTCAGTAAGTAGTTCTCTTCTCGCGAAATCATTTGTGTTTTTCAATTTACCTATTCATATGGAGCCAGGAATATAGGTCGTTCGATACGTAACTTATCCAAAATAATCCGAGAACATTACCAGGTTCGGCTGAAATGGCTTCATTATCAAAAACGCTATTAACATAGGTCACTTAATCAGCAAAGATTCTGCATTCAAAAGCCATCTACAAGGTAACTCGAAAGCTGCCAAAGGCGGTTAGCTGTTGTCTTCCTAGAACTGCTGAAGAAGTTGTTACACATCTGGACAACCAGGACTGTGAGCAAACGAAAGTTGTACGACCTCTTCCCGTACTATGTTTTAATCTTTCTTCTCTAACAGAGTGTCTCATTACCTGAACTACCTGCTTCTACTAGACCTCACATACACAAAGTTATATGGAGTATGCTATTTTATGGTACACAACTGTACCAGATTTGAAGTCAATAAATTACTAAAAATAAATAATCGCCAACAACTTATGATATATGATGGGTAAACAAAAATAATCACATTCAGTTGACGCATAAAATAAATTGTATATAATATCTCAAATGTATGGTAGAAACTAGGGGACTTTGTACGCTTTACCAATCAATACAACAGTTAATTTTTAAAAACAAACAGTCTGACGTAATTAGAATTTAGTCTGATATAATAATAGTTACGAAAGCATTTAGTTCTGTCTTGAGTATAGGGCATTTTATCAATGTTTTGATAAGTGTGTTTATCAATAAAGAATTTATTTTTAATTCTTCAGGACAGACATTTCGAGAAAGTATTGACTTTTGATGACGTTTCATACTACATACATGGCACATTCAATACATTATCAGCTGATAACTAAAGTATAAACTATGGAAAAAAGTAAGCGTAGACTTGAACAAAGAAATCAGAATATATATATACATATACATATATATGGCTCATAAGCATACATACATACGTGTTCATATGAATACAATAATACATAAACAAACGAACAAACACATAGCGTAGACATTTACGTCATAGATATGTAATCAAAAAGCATGTGATTTTTTTTTTAATGCATGAGCTTAACGTGATATAATCGATAGTTGGAATCTGAAATTAGACGACTGATACAAGGGAGAAAATATATAACAAAGAGAAGAGAAAAATATGTGAATGAAATTGTATGATTACGTTATTAGAGAGAAAAAAAATAGTTTTTTTTTTAAACAACATATTGTTATTCGAATATCATAAACATGTGTGACGTAGTTTTGGTAATCGAGAAAAATACATGTGAATATACAAGAATAACTAGCAATAACCACCATAGTGAACGTAAAATAAAATAAAATTGCAAATCGCTGAACGAATAAATCGGAAACAGGTGTGTGTGTGTGTGAGTGTATGTGGGCGTGGGTGTTTATATAAAGTGACCGTGTGGCGTTTTTGAAATCAGAATGCCAGATTTTTAAAAAAAAATATACATAGATGGAAAAATTTCTGTTTTTATTTCACGTCCTAGTTAAATGATAACGAAAAAACGGAATTACAACACTGATGTTTACCGGTTTAGTCACAGATGATTTAGAATAATATTTTATGCATGTGAATCGATCTACATCACTACATCATTCATGTTGAATGGGTAGTTAGAGAGGAGATCAACAAGATAAACAATAGCAAAAGGGAATGGGAATGGTAATATTAGTTGTAAACTTAAAGATACATGATTTAACACGACCAGCTAATGGAAAGTATGAAGTTGTAATCTGTTTGTAATTTAGAAGATAGACAATGAACGAAATCGAATCGCTATAACTGATTTTGAACAGTCATTCAATACATTCATAGCTACTGCATCAGCACAAACAAGATGATCATACAGCTCAAGTCAACAGTCAATAACTTCATGAACTGACTCTACACGAAGTGTTGGTACAGTCAGTCACAATAATTTGTGCAATCAACTCCTTAAAACGTGTAGAGAGCATAGTTGTTATAGCTTTCAATAATTACCATGGAAATTGTGTTTCTCAACTGGAACAGATAAACTTTCACGTTAGACATCAATGATAAAGGAAAAACGAGTCGAAATTAAAGGACTTATTGAACGATTGTCCGCGTATATATGTACACTTTTTTAAAAAGTATATTATCGGTGTTGTTAAAAGATGGAAAATTAAATTCATATCTGTTCAACATAAAAGATAACCTATCTTAAAAGTAATCAGATCTAACATTAATGCTGTTACCGATTTCCAATAATCACACATCTGTATATTGAAGTGTACTTGCAACATAATTATTATACGTATTCACCAAAACGGATGATAGATCATGAAATGAATTCTTTTTAGCAAACATATATATGAAGCATTTTATAATATTTATGTCAGTCTCGGCAAAGAGGGTTTTATATGAGTCAACATAATTTATTTTATTATTGTTTGTTTAGAGGCGTGAAGTATTCAGTAAGTAAATTATTATAACGATCATCAAATATTCAATTTGAAGAGAGCTTTGCAAAAAATAGATTTTATGCTAATTCCATATGATACAATGATATATATATATATATATATATATATATATACTATTGGATCAGAAACAGTTGAATATCATTTCCAAAGTTATATACGTTTGTCACAGATAATATAGGTATCACCCACATATTTCTTGTAAAAATAAAATTTGTCAATGGCTGCTCGAAGAGCAGTTTTCTCCAGGTTGACCATAAAGCAGTCTGTGACGAAGATAATGAATGATCTTAATAAAATAGTGCAAGAGTACAACAATGGTCAACACTCAATTACGTTCATATTAGAAGCTGAGTTGAATCTTGGATTTCATTTTCTTGATGTCTTACTAAAACGAAGACCAGATAGGTTTTTTCAACGATCAATGTACATAAAACCAACCTAGAACGACCAGTATACGAAATTTCAAAGTTTCGTGCTGTTGAGTAGAGAGAGAGATACAACGCAGAACTTCGTACATAAGTACATCAGTTCAGGTTGCCATATTACGTCAGCACAGAGACGCTGTTGAGTAGGAACAGAAATTTAATTCATTCTCTATCCTCAAGAGCCAGACGAATGAATATACAACAAAGACACATCACAGGTTGATTGACAGTAGGGTTGAAAGTATTCCCGCTATTCCGAAAAAAGTTTTATTCTTTGACGGTGAAGTCAAATGCGATACGGTAACCAAGATATTTAAGAAGAGACATTTCAGTGATAACATCTCATAAAGAAGACAATGACAAGTTAATAATTATTTACTGAAAACTCTTTACTCACACAATCGGTCAAGTTATAGCTTGTAGTGAATTGTCGTCAGAATGGATAATAATCCAGTGATAGATAAATCAACTGGTTTCAAACCAGTAGGTTCCTTCATCAATCTTGGTTTAAGCGTCTGGCTAGTATCATTACTCTTGCCTGACATACCAAAAAGTGAGGCTCAAGGCTGAATATATAAAAAGTATATACTTTAAAGAAAAATAAAGGCAATCTAGCGAAGAAAATTCTCCTTTCGACGGTTTCATTTACTTTTCAAAGAATTATAGAAGACAGTGGAAAGCTCAATTTTGGAACATTTATTCAACTCTGGCTATTCCGCTTTGCCAGAAACCTCCTTTAAAATCTTACATATAGTCTGAAGAGTCAGACAAGAAGGAATGCAAACAAAGAACCCATGTATAACAGTTATTACTATTCACTAGTTTAAGCCTAACTTTAGCGTACGGAAATATCATGTTTAGTCTATTATTCTTTGTTTTGTTTGTTTTGCTATTGTTTGTTTTCGAATCATTAATCTTCATCCTTTCCAATTATTTTCGCGACAAATAATAAGCCATTATCATAGTTTTCGTTTATTCTGTTCTGAATGGATATCAAATGGGCGGTAATTCTCACCTTAGCACCTTTTCCACTACTAGCCAATTGTTATATAACTTCCTTTCAATATTTGATTTTCATAAACAATTCACTTTGAGTTGCTTTAATTAGTATTACCATTTTACACCATTTTATTTTACTATAGGCTACTATTTTTGCAAATAAAATAAACTATAAATACGATTGTATAACTTAAGTAACCGAGGTCATCAGGAAGAAAATGTTCTTCGCTCAATTGCCTTTATTTTTGTTAATGATGCAATGGGTCTCTTATGTTATTTGAAATACATACTTTCTAAATGCACCATAATAATAACAGTGCATATTATGAAGGTTAATTTTCAGTTTTATTTAATTTCAACTCTGAATCCATGAAGTGCTGATTAGTCTTCGTGATTGGTATTCAAGTACGTTAAACCAGTCAGAGAAAAACATCTCGTCAACAAGTAACAAAAAGTGCAAAACAGTAAAGTCAACGTCATGAACATTATTGTTAAACATGTTAACTTACCCATAGAAAGCCAATAAGGAACACGAAAACTGGCAGAAAGGACTTGATTTTTCAAATGAGGAAGAGATTGAGCATCGAATGGAAGAGCGCCACATACCATGACATAAAGAATGACACCTAGACTCTAAAGTTTGACCAAACAAAAGTTTACGAATTAGGTTGGATTATGAAAATGTTTCATAGAAAACAATTTTTTATTTCACAAAACGTAAATTTTAGTTAGAGATAATTTCCCATGATAATATTATGAATAAATGAAGTTAAAGTTAAAGGACTGGAGCTCATACTAACAGAAGAATGAACAATTTTAAATAACTAGTTATAATAGTCCACGGTCAATTAATAAAATATTATTCGTTTGTCTGGCTTCCTAGTAATGAACAGCTTATTAACGCTCTGTAATTCAGATTATAACAGAGTAAGACGATAGGTAGTTGAATAAGAGACAAACTATGTTTTGAATGATGAGAATCTCGATTTACAGAAAACACGATTACCTCTTCGTCGCCTCCCACTGACTGCGTTTCAGACAAGGTAAAAGATGAGTTTTACAGAAAGCTTCCGGGTTCCCTCCAAAAAGTTAGGCGCTCTGATATGGTAATAGTCGAGGGTGACTTTATTGCACAAGTAGATAGACTCAGTGAAAAAGAAAGACACCTGGGTGGATGCTATGGTGTCGAGCCTGATTGAACAGATAATGGAGACCGTCTGCTCCAGCTACACTCAGAAAACCACCAATGACATGACTCAAACTCGCTTGCAGTAACGCATGTGTATCCATTATTTGCGTTCTCCCAAGTTATAATCTACCGAATTCTTCATGACCTTTTCTTTCTCCTTTTAAATTTATTTCACTGGATTATACTTCTAAAATCATATCTTCGATCCCTAATCTTTTTGATTAACGCTGATACTTTTACAACCTCTACTATACCTGTTTCTAAACTTAACACTGCCTACTTAGTGGTTTCGCAATAAAAACGAACTGATAAAGAAGAACACAGCCTTTCAGCAAAATCCTGAAGGACATTTACAAGACATGCAAACAGTATGTTTACGATGAACTATCAAGCTACAAATGATTTATGTCCCGATAGAGGTATAAAAACAATTGTTGAAAATCAACATCTAAACAAATGAACAAGGATAATGACAATTGCCGTTCTGCACTTGGTCATACTATAAGCTTTTTCGTGTATATTTTTCAAAGTTGATACATGAGATGTTCGACAAAAAAATTGTGTGATTTTCTAATTCTTTGAAAACCGAAAATATGAGGCTTATTGTAACTAATTTTCAATGATCCTTTACGAAATAGATATTTCCAGCTTTCCAAATATCTGCTTCATTCAAAATTTAACGGTTTAAACGATCATAAAATCTGTACTATTTTACAATTACTTCCGCCCTGATCATAACAAAAAGTGTCGAATTTATTTCAAATCTATCATTTGTCATAATTTCACCACTAGTTATTATTATACAGTAACGACCAAATTTTTATATATGTTTAATTGAATAACATTTATTATTTTGACTAAAATGACAAAAGTATAGGACGTGAAATCGGACTACAACTTGCTTTGCTTGATCAGACAGTAACAATAATAATAGATGCCCAAAGTAAATCTTAGTAGACAAAGAGATTAAATCTGAGCAAGGCCATTATTATAACTAAGCAACACTTACCCAAATATCTGCTTTTACTCCAATGTATGGTTCGCCTAAAAATATTTCAGGTGCAGCATACGGTGGACTACCACACCAGGTAGTTAAAAGGTGATTGGGTGAGTTGAAATGTGTACCGAAACTAAAATCTAGAATAAACATTGTTAAAAATCTGAACGTAAATAACTGAATAAATGCATGGCAGAAATGAATAAAGTCACTGACAAGTGAACTGAGTCATGTTGGTAGATGTAGGCTATCTGGTTGGGGTCAGCGAGACGATAGTCACCAATGGTTTGAGACCTTGAATGACATGGCTCAGGATCGTTTGCAATGGCGCAGGTGCATCTACTCTTTGTGTTCTATGAAATTCTAAACTTCTGCATTCCTCATAATCTCTACCTTTCTCCTTCTAAATTTATCTCACTTAATTATACTTTTCGAATCATATCTTTGCTCCCTAATCTTCTCTATTACTGCTAATACTTCTACTATCGCTATCACTGTTGGATTTGAACTGACAGTTACGTCTCTGTGCTGACGTGTTATGGCAACGTGAACTGATGTACTTACGTACGAAGTTCTGCGTTGTATCTGAATAAAATAAGTTATGCACGATAGATAGTAAAAGCTGGGAGTTTAAATTGCACATAAAAATTCATTTGTCTTTTTTCCATAGAAATGAATTTATAGTGTATATTAAATTATTCAATTCACTACACTAAACGCGAATTTTCCTACACGTTTAAATCGACCGAAGCAAATTTTGATAAATAATTAGAGCACAAAATACTATATACATCTTTCAAAGATTCAATCTTAATCGCACAAAACTGTTACTTCTATGAATGCGTGGTTAATTAATAATTTGGAACTTCGTCCTCGTTTAACATTTTCAATTTGATTATGTGTACCGTTTGTTCTGTCTTATTATGAATAAATTTTCTGACTACATAGCTATTTAAGGTCTAAAAAATACATGATAATTGTTTTCCTAAATTTCATATTTGAATTCCAGGGGGATGGATTTAATTACTTTCTTGTCAAACTTTAAATACTAACCTCACATTAGAACAAGATCTTGCACCAAGGATCACAACTGGTCATTCAGTCACCCACAACACGGAATTTCGTACCTACGTAAATCACTTCAGTCCCATCTTTTACCGAGCTAGTCTCACTAACAGTCGGATTTCTAATACCAGTTTCCTTGATAAGTCTGAACAGTTGTCTACTGTTACTATGCTTTCTGCTGTCGCTACACACCACTGTTCGTGACCATTGCATGGGCTTCTTATTAGCTTGTGCTTAAGCTGACTCCGCTCCTCATTGTGTTCAGAGCCAGAGGGGATGAGTTTGCGAGCACCTGTCAGTTCAGTAGATGCCACTGAAATCGATTACAGCTGGGAATAAAACGGAATCTCCATTCAAATTAAAATCGATTGAATCCTATATATAAGTATACTACGTTTCATAACAGGATTTATGCATGTTTGCTAGACATTGCAGCATTGAAAACAGAAACGTTAATCAGTTTTCAGCACTGCACCAACAAAGAGGGACCTAGACTGGCAAGCAAACATTGGAAAAGTAATCGATGAAGCCATAGCTTTCCTGTTCATGTATGCACTTTTATTTTCTCGATTTCACATACTTCTATGAAGTACATTTGCTTTTGACTGATGAACGCGATTTTATCGAATGTTTTTCTGAATACAGAAAAACAAACGCATTAACAACTTTTGATAAATTCGGAAACCTTTTAGTGAAAATTACTGTAAAAAACGGCTTTTAACAACATATCGTGCACTAAATTATTTGATGCTATGGCAACTTTATCAGTATGAACGATTTGTTCTGATATCAAGCAATGAGTACTTTTTCAGCATTTATTGAATTTGAGAATTTTTTTAAAAATTTCAGCTTGATTTGACGCTAAGCAGAGGTTGTATTCAATTTAAAATGAATCTTCACCAAGTAAATGGTCTTAATTAAGGCCAATTTACTATCTCAGGATCTATGATATCTTAGGCTAAAATGGCAACTTCTAAAAGAATGTAAAAGGAAACTACCGCAGGATTGTTACTGGCTTTTATTCTGAGCTATGACTGAGATGCGAAATCTCTAGGACCACAACCACTAAGGTATGATGGAACGACATGTGCCAGTTCTATACAACTGCATACTATGCGGCAATGTCACAAAGTGACCAGGACTCCGGTTTTTCAACTAGTCCCAACGTTTGCAAATGATGTACGATGTGGAAATCGCTTAGGATGACATTCGCAAAACATATGATGATTTTTTGGACAGAGATGTGGATTTAAATATGCAAAAGAGAATCAGTATTTTTGAAGTTACAGATGTGAACAACGTATGAGGATGAAGAAATACAACACTCAAATTAAGGCCTATATCCCAACAATAATGGGGCTAGTAACAATCTCACAACTGCCGTTGTTCTTCTAAATATTCGTAGGTTAATGGTTTTCGATCATAGATTTCTTCGGATCACTGTTCGTTTATCTTGGGATTATCGAGTAAGCAATGCCATTTTTGGGAAACAGGTCATAGATAAGGACGGCAGATGAATAGATTAAGTAGGGAAACTTCATCAGTTGGGGCGGTTGGGACATGTGTTACAAATGCCCAACCACCGACTGCCTCGTCAAGCTATGTTTCGCGGTGTACGAGTAGGTTGGAAGAAAGCTGGGGGCAGTCAAACCAAAACATGGCACAGATTTCTGAAGTCACTGATAAATGGATTGAGTCGTGTTGGTAAGTGTCGACTACCTGGTTGGGGTCCGTGAGTTGATAGTAATCGATGGTTAGTGACCTTGAATGACATGGCTCAAAAACGTTTGCAATGGCGTAGGTGCATTTACTCTTTGTGTTCAGACATTAAATGCTCCAACATATAATTTAGAACGAGGTTTCAGGAAACCAGGAATAACAATTCGTGAACTCGCATTGTTTTCATTAGCGGTGCAATGTGATAATTCTTCTGATTTCCTCATGACCGTTTTTTTGGCTTTTTCTAATTGATTCCTCTAGGGTATACATCTCGAATAATATATTCGACCATTAATCTTTTTGATTACTGCTGATACTTCTACTACCTCGACTACTATGGGATTTGAATTGGCAATCGCATCTCTGTGCTAATAAGGAATGGCAACTTGAAATGATGTTCGTACGTACGAAGTTCTACTTTGTAACTGACTGACTGCTCACTGTAGAAGGGCATAACAGCAGTAGGGTGTTCCTCTCGGACAACCAGCATCTGGGGCTATGCTGCCTTTTTACTACAGAAGAGGTTCGAAAAGTTCGAACCCTCAAACGTCACACCTCACCTCAACCCATGGATTTCCGTCTCCGGTGGTAGGGCCTTTTGAGGAGCAGAGCTAACAAGTTAAAAACTCCACAAAGGGTCGCGCGTAACCACATTCAAGCAGTTGTCTCTCAGGTTCTGCAGTTAGGCTCCAAGGTCACTAAGATCAACACTCACCCAACTTCCTTCTCTAGTCCCTCAAAAAACAACACCGTTCTGTGTTGTTAGCAACCGGAAAATGACAATTGACCTTATACCCCTAACAACACATGAGGAGAGTTTACAAGTCATTGTTACACGGATTTGCTAAAAATCAGATGACGCTTACTACACAGTATAATTCATTTGAAGATACATGAAAAACTCTATAAACTACTTCGAAATTATATCAAATCAACAACACACTTTATAATATTTACCCACTAATTTGATGTTCATTTCTGAATCTAGTAATATATTTTCAGCCTTCAAATCACGATGTACAATACCACAAGAGTGTGTGTAGTCGATAGCTGAAAGTACATCCAGAAATTTGATCCGCGCATCAACCTCAGAAAACCTCCCATTTGTGGCTATGTAGTCTATAAAGAACAATATATCCAGACTTAGAATGAAATAAACATAAAATAAATATATATTAATGGTAGCGCACTGTTTATTGATGATTAAAAATTCCTAAGGTATGTTATCGCTACCTTACTGGCTACGGTAATATAGAATTTGGAGTTTTTATAAGACCTAACTAAGAGTGACGAGGGATTATCAACATAGTAAATGACTAGAATCATTAAGAAATACATAGTTGACCGACGAGTAATTAGTGACAATGAAAGAATGAGTTTGTTATCTGCAGCAAAACAACGAACTTATTTACACTATCAATGACTGGTTAGTTTGAGCCATATGGAGAACTCAGGGTTAGTGCTTGTGCGATATTTCTAATCTGTGGTTGAAAAGCGGATGACGTATCTTGAACTGACATCTTATTTGCCCGCCACTAATGTATGTATTCTAAACTTCGCAGTTTGCAGCCTTTAATCAAGCGTATATTATGAAACCTTGTCTTTGCAACCGACGTATCACATTCCTACTCATCTGTTTTTAGTTTGTACCACTCATTCTCCCCTTTGCTAAAAATAATTAAATAAGAACTGTTAGAGCTTGGGAAACGTGTGGCTTAAAGCTAGGCACGCCACTCTGAATATAGTTGAGTAGAGAATCAGTTAATCATTGCAGCTGATTGCGACAAAAACTGCACGATTAGCAAATGCCTGATGAGACCCTATAATTGGTAATTTCCATTCAGCAAACCAAAAACACAAAATCTAAAATACTAAAACAATGAGATACAACAATAGGTAATCTCTATTTTGAATTCTATTATTTAACCATAAATTACCCCATCATAACACTAGTGGGAGCTAACCATACATAACTATCTTTGATATTAGATAGCATTAAGGACAACGTGCATCAAAACATTAACGCCTCGAATAGTAAGTTAATTTAATACTCTAAGCTTTTTTGGAAGAATTTACAGGACTAATTTCTCACTTAGAATTTATTAACTGATAGACATAGACCACTGACAATGAAAAGATTAGCATAAGTATACGCTTTAAAATTATGGGTAGACTTTAAGGTAAAATTACTTACCAAATAACTCGCCGTTCGAAACATATTCCATCACCATGCAGAGTAATCGTTGTGTTTCCATAACCTAAAACCAATCAATATAAATGATGAATCTACCTGGTAAAGTTTCACGATATTTGAATGATGAAGCTCCTTTAGAATATCGGATTCTCTGTATACTTTTTTAAGATTTTCAGGACTTAGACAGGACTTGTCAATGATTTTTATTGCAACCTGTTAAATCAGAAGTAATGGGACGAATATAAATTACGAAAATTCCAGTTATCGTATGCTTGGCGAGCTTGACTGAAGAGAATATCCCTTTACCAATGGTTCGTTCGATAACATAAGTACCCAACTTCGGCTTGGATGATTCTTGTTGTTGGTCACTGAAATCAGCAGGCAAGGCATCATCTATATCTGATTTCAGCTCAGCAATGTCAGATTCGACATTATGACGGTTAATGACCTTTCTTGTATTACAATCAAAGGCACCACAGATACAAAAGTTTCCTGAATCTTTTTCTTGACAATAGTCAGGTGACGCCTCGGACGCTAGGGAACACTCAGTAGCATTGAACTGTTGGTCAGTCACCCCACCAATGCCAATACGGCAATGTCGGCATACATTCATCTCTCTTGAAGATAACTTAGCTCTGGAGTTTGTGCATCGAGATTGTAATCACATCCAAACTAATTTAAATGCGGATAGTCATCCAATTTTCGACAGCATAGATGAGTTGAACAGTTACCAAAACAAAGATAGACGATACAACTTATGAAGAATAGAAATTACAGACTTATAAAATGGAAAGTCAATGTAAACGTTCCCTTGGTCACGAGACCACTTTGCTTAGGCGTCCGCAAATAGTTAAGCCAAATATACAGTGTAAGAGTTATTATGAACAGACAAAAATTTAAAGTTCAACTAACTGGTCAGATTTAACAGCAAGAAAAAGTGAAAAAAACCCAGAATTTTATTGATTGTATGTTGTGAAACAGTGACCAAGATCCAAAACGTTTGTTAAAGAAAATGACAATGCCTCGGGGCGGAAACAACTTAAAGAATAGTTTAAGGGCAACAATACACAAATTAATTCACGCTTAAAGCACAAAGACTTCATAAAACACCAACGAAACCTTCCAAAATCTGCACGAAGCTCGAGGAGACCGCCAGATCTTTGGAACAGAACAAAAATCTTCTTGATTCATTTAAACAAAGAAATCTTGATTTTCTTTGACGCGCTTAGCGGCTAAATGCTTTATTATGTCCTCCACTTTTAAACATTTTCCGTAAATTTTGCAGATGGCTTCTGCGTTCTGGGACGTAATTTTCGTTACAGATGTCATTTGAATAGTTTTGATTTGCAAATGACATTCGTGGACTCTCAGTTGTTAAACATTTACCTTAAATACACCCGTAGGTGAAAATTCAGTCGCTTTTCGGGCAGCGAGTTCAAGTCGTTGAAAACCTAATGGATGGCTGATAAGTAATTTGTCCCAGGTTTGTGAAATTTCATCAACCAGCATCGTAAATTCTTCATTTCTCCAGTCAAGAAAGGTGAGAACGAGTAAATTTGTCATTGAGCAGTTTAAAATTGTAATCAGATTTTCTGTGGGCCTCATATAAGACAGGTGAAATGTGTTTAATTTAACCAGTTTCTCTTCATACAGCTTACATACTAACTTACGCCTCTGACACATAATAGAGAATAGCCTACACCGTCCTCGATCTTTCTTTTCAGTTCTCTACAATTCCTAATTATTGTGTTAATGCCTCTCTCCTGTTCCCAATGCAGTCTGATGTTTGGTTGGCTTTTCTTCCCTTTCCCGTTGAGGATTCCAAGACACGCATTGGTGATTTCTGCGTTCTTTTTCCCATCCGCCTTCAGATCTTCTTCCTCAGCTGCAACCTGGCTTGCTCTCTCTCACAACAGTCCCTCATTACCTAACTTAGACAACTGTTATGCAATACCAGAATTTCTTGGATGGTGGCTTTTGTAGTTCTTAGACTTTTTATTCCATACAACTGAACTGTGCTGACGCTTGTATTGAAAATTGTGACTTTAGTGTTGGCTTTGGGTTACAGATGTTCTTCGAATGTAGAAATACTGTCCTTGTTTTGGTATTACATGACTTCTCATCTTCATCAGATTCACCATGTTTATTACTGATGCTGTTCAGATATGAAAGCTTTCCACATATTCCAGACGTTCTTTGTCTATTTTGATTCGGTTGGTGCATAGGATTTTGTATCCAATGATCTTACACTTTCCCTTGAATATATTGGGACTTATTGCAGCAGAGGCTGATGCTACGTTGGCCGTCTTCATTGATGCTTCTGTAGTTTCCTCGCTTGCTAAGATCTTTCTTTGAGATGGTGACCTTTCTAGTTTGTTGATACTTGTTCTTCCTCTCACATCCTGCTTAACAGGACGTGGAACAAGATGGCAGTCACTGCTGTAGTGAGTGTCTAGCTCACAGGGCTCGTCCTAGCATTTGGACAAATTAACCCACTTGCCATTTGATCTTGTCAGTCATTCGCTCATATCCTTGTTGCTTTTACGCGTGTGTGTGCACGCCTGCCTTGCATATTACATGTCTGGCTTCCTTTGTCCCACTATATATGCATAGTCATGCTTCCTCGAGTTGAGTTGGCTCACTCACCTTCTCTGCTTCGCTTTGCTCGTAGGCTTTCGTTATGAACGACTGCCTGAAATAAACTCACCCAACCAAATCCGTATTTGGCTTCTTATTACCGCCGTCTCTCAAACGGCTTTCACTTGGGTATAATTTACGCAAACTGATGGGAAGGTTTATTTCACACCAAATCGATCATTCATAAATATTGGAGCCGGATCAATGACCAACACCGGTATGTCTGTTTTCAGTGCTTTAGCTGCAATGTTGTTTGATCCTGCTGCGTTGCTGCTCTTGATTTGTCTGATAGCCATGCTGATCTCTTCCATTGTTGATCAGTCTACAGCATTCACAAGGTCCGTAGCTGCTGCTTCGATGATCGATAGGTTAAAGGGGTCTGGTCTATTTCAGAGTTTTTCACAGTGCTTGACCCAAATATTTAGTGTTTTTCTGTGTTGGGGATCGATTCGCTTTCCTTGTTCTTCATTGAGCGTTTTTCGATGGCTTCCATTGCTCTTGTTTGGCCTTCCTAATCCACCTGCAGTAATATATTCCTCTTGATGGTGCTTCTAATGGCCCAAAACCTCATGACACGTCGAAGCTAATAGTCCTTCTAATCTTTCCAGTTGTTCTAGCTCATATTTTCCACTCCATTTAGGAGATCATAATAGGCTTAGTACCTATTTCTGAAATCTATCTTGATTTCTTCAAGTTTGTTATTATCCAAAACAAAGGCCGTGTTAAACTCTCATGATGCTTTTCTAACAGTTTTCCAGTGATTCCTTATGTTCAGCTTCATTTTGGCTACCACCGAGTGATGATCTGATGTGATGTCGGCTTCTCTCATGGTTCGCACTTCCCTCATCGTCCTACTGAACCTTTTACTGATGCAGATATGGACGATTTGGTGTGGTGTGTAGAATCTATTTTGAAGGCTTTGTTTTTGGAAAATCCCTCCATCTATATATATTTGTGTTATGATATGACTGACTCTTTCTGTTGACATTTTGGTACTCTATTTGATTCCATTTTGAGATTTTATCATTGTATATTGTTATTATTTCTATACCTTGTACTTATATTGAAGTTTTTATGTTTCCTTCCGAACTGTACATATGTTGTTTAAATTTGATATTTAATATGGCTACAGCAATATTTGGATTTGATACTTCAGCAGTAACGGACTGGAAGCACTTATTCTTCAAGAAACGGATACCTATTGTGGTAACTGGAAACTCGAAGGTGTAATATTGTTTTGGTAATTGTCTGTATTTCCATTTTATCGATTGATAGAACCGTTTTCTCCCAGAATTATCGTGTTTTTGGTCCCTAACTGGGTAAACGCGTATGAACCTACATTGTTCGAACCGGAGTGAACTGCTAGAGTAGAAAATCTATTATATTGTGTGATCTAGTGAAACCCATGCAACTTTGTGTATGCGTTTATTTGATAATATGATGCCACCTATGATCAGTTTGTTGAAGGCAATTAGTTTGGCAAATCTGTCACCATTCTCACTCCTTTCTCCCAGTGCGTGTCGTCAAATGATGTCTTCATATACAGTGTTGTCCATGCCAACCTTGGTATTTAGGTTTCCCATCAGAATGGTCGAATGGTTTGATTAGCATCTCTCGTCGATTGACTGCAGCCTCTTGTAGAATTGGTTTTTAATGTCCTTATTGTTATCGCTGGTGTGCTCATAACATTGGATGACGTTAATTGTAATGCCCTGTTTCTTTGTTTTGAAGTAGTCTGTGATGATGCTGGGTCCATGAACTTCCCATCCCATCAGTGGTTTTTGGTCTTCTTTGGTCAGCAGCAGTGAAAATGATTGTGTGAACTGTATTTTTTCCTCATAACCGGGGTACGGCATCTTCTCTTCCGAATTTAAACTTTTTAGTCCAGTATTTATTTAATTTATTTCACCAGGTTGTAGTTTTTCATTATCGCAGCATCTTGGGTGCTTCTGCGAGTCCCCTACATTGTTCGTACATTCGATGTACGTATAATAACGGTTGCTCTGGTTGTTTAAAGGGGTTTCGGCTTCGTGACTTCTTTAGAAACCCAGCTTTCATCAAGAGGCCTAATAAATTTTCTAAATGAGGACCTTTCAGCTCCTGCGGTAGAGTTTAAATGATTTGAATTATTATGTCCTGAGCATTTCCCTAGGATCTTGAGTTTTTATGAGATGTGGTTGCTGACCCTATACTAACCCGCTCCTTTATCCGGCAGCAGCCCAAAAACGGCTCGTCATACTGCTGTTTTGTAGTTCTAGGAAGCAACTTATTTGTGATTCTTTGAATTTCTCCTAACAGATTACTGCACAGTAGATCATCTTGAGGCTCTAAACAATAACCATTCTTTGACGCTCTCTATATCAGAATACGGTCAGCACATAACAAAACCGATAATGGTAGGACACTTGGAACCTTATGTAAGATAATATATTACTCTCGCAGTCCGCTCTGAAACCGGAAGGTGTAGGTTCATACGCGTTTACCCAGTTAGGGACCAAAAACACGATAATTCTGGGAGAAAACGGTTCTATCAATCGATAAAATGGAAATACAGACAATTACCAAAACAATATTACACCTTCGAGTTTCCAGTTACCACAATAGGTATCCGTTTCTTGAAGAATAAGTGCTTCCAGTCCGTTACTGCTGAAGTATCAAATCCAAATATTGCTGTAGCCATATTAAATATCAAATTTAAACAACATATGTACAGTTCGGAAGGAAACATAAAAACTTCAATATAAGTACAAGGTATAGAAATAATAACAATATACAATGATAAAATCTCAAAATGGAATCAAATAGAGTACCAAAATGTCAACAGAAAGAGTCAGTCATATCATAACACAAATATATATAGATGGAGGGATTTTCCAAAAACAAAGCCTTCAAAATAGATTCTACACCTTAGTGATACGAAGAATAAAGGTTGTCGTACAACTGTACACTACGGAACCCACTGAGCAAAATATTTCAGCTGAAATAATGGAATTAATCAGTACTCATAGCTGACAACTTACTCGAAAAACTTAATTACGTATAAATAACTTGCCTCCAGTCCCGATATCACTGAGGTAAAAATCTGTTCCAAGGGACTTTTTCAAAATCCTTTTTAAAGCCAATAAAGGGTTAATCTTTAAAAGCGCTTCAGCATTCACTTCCACTGAGAAGTTGTGATAAAAAACCATGATGTTTCTTGGAATTAATTGGGTTTTTATCCAGATATATAAAGCGCTTCTTCTAAATGAATGTCTTTAAATTTCAATAACCATCCTGGCGAGTCTTACGAGCCAATTTTTCTCAGGTTTTTGTCTCGTGTATGTTTTAATGGTAATCCTTTGTTGATGAACTCCCTTACGAAGAGTAAGAACCTCATTATTGAGCAATAATAAGGGGGGTTTGGAATGCTTAATGTAGTTCAGAGAATGTGCGGTGCAGTATATTTTATGCACTGATTTCCGAACACCTCCCAATTCGTTATGATGGCGGGGATTCAGATCCATTATCCAATCTATTCCCTTCACTT